CTCTCTCTCTCAAATAAATAGAAATCTTTAAAAATATTAGCAAAATATTTGAACAAATTATTTCACAAAAGAAGATATATGAATGACTAATGAGTACATGAAAAGATGCTGAACATCATTAGTCGCCAGAGAAATAAAAATTAAAGCTACAAGATAATACACACCTTTTAGGATGGTTAAAATTTCCAACAGACACATGAAAAGATGCTCAACATCACTTGTCATCAGGGAAATACAAATCAAAACTACAATGAGATATCACCTCACACTTGTCAGAGTGGCTATAATCAACAACACAAGAAACAACAGGTGTTGGTGAGGATGAGGAGAAAGGGGAACACTCTTATGTTGTTGGTGGGAATTCAAACTGGAGCAGGCACTGTGGAAAACAGTATGGAGGTTCCTCAAAAAGTTGAAAATAGAACTACCTTATAATCCAGCAATTGCACTGCTAGGTATTTACCCAAAGAATACAAAAACACTATTCAAGGGATACATGCACCCCAATGTTTATAGCAGCATTATCTACAATAGCCAAACTATGGGAAGAGCCCAAGTGTGCATTGATTGATGAATATTTGTCAATGCACAAATATTATGAAACACACTTTATGGCTTTATTTGTAATAGTCAAAAATTGGGAAGTATCTAAGTGTCCATCAAGAGATGAATGGATAAACATTCACCATATCATGGACTACCACTCACCAGTAGAAAGGAATATGCTATTATTACATGCAAAATCATTATGTTGAATGAATGAAGCCAGAGAAAAATAAAGGAGAGTACGTGCTCTGTGGTTCACTCTATATAAAAAATATTGCATAAAGCAAAATATAGTGACAGAAAGCAGACCAGAGGTTGCTTGAGGATGGGGATGGAAGGAGGGATGGATTACAAATGGGAAGAAAGAGACTTTTAGAGATAATGAAAGTGTTTGCTATTTTCATTGTGGTCATGATTTCATAGGCTTAAATCTATGTAAAACAGATACATGTAAAATGAATTGCATGGTTTATGTACTTTTTAAATTTTAATTTATACCTTAATGAAGCTAAATAATTACTCACATGTAGACACAGACTGAAAGGACTGGAAGTGATAATGTGTTTTGGTATTTTCTTCTCATGATATTTGGTTTGTTTTACTTTCTTCATTATAAGTTCATTTTTTTTTCCTTTGGTGGCCTCCTTAAAGACTCCCTCAGTGATATCTTCATTTTTTTGTTACTTGAGGGTGAAAACACATGCTTCTGAAAGGCTCTTCTCAGAGATCTCCTCTTTCTCTTTTTAATTACTAGGCTTCTATCCCAAGCCTTGCTTCAAAAATCTATGCAAACATACACATTTTCCTTGAGAAACTAAACAAACATGAACACATAAATGACTGATAGGGATGAATGCATTAGTCCTTTTTGTTGTTCCTGGTTGATTCACTTTTCTTTTGTTTTCATATTTCTCTAATTTTCTTGCCAGTCTCTTTAGAGACTTCCAAATAATAGATCTCCATTGTCACCTTAAAAAGTCAGAATGTACTGCCCACCTAGACTAACACTTGCATGGGATGTGTAAGTTAATGGAAGTGTTCACTAAAGTAACTCAGTTCTTGGGATGCCTGGGTGGATCAGTTGGTTAAGTATCTGCCTTCGGCTCAGGTCATGATCTCACAGTCCTAGGATAGAGTCCCGCATCGGGCTCCTTGCTCAGCGGGGATCCTGCTTCTTCCTCTGCCTGCTACTCCTCCCTGCTTGCTCTCTCTTTCTCTGATAAATAAAGTCTAAAAAAAAAGTAACTCAGTTCTCCTTCAATCACCTTCTGACTCGGTGACTTTTACTTTTTCCCCTGGCTATTACTTTTTCCAGAAAGTTCTGTTCTCACTCCTCCATCCCTGCTGAAACACCCCTGCTGAAAGCATCCAAGGGTGCTTTCTTGTCTTCAATCATGTTCTGATCATGGTCCCTGAAATTTACTGCTTCTAGAAAGTTCTGTACTCATACCCCACCATCAGAGAAACTTCCAGGAGATGGGTCTTAATTTGGTTCTCCTTCAACCAATCACACTGTGACCTTGTTCCCTGAATTTTACCACTTCCAGAAAGTTCTGACTTCATCATCCCACTCCCTCAGAAACACTAAGGAGAGGGAATTTATTTCAGTTCTTCAAAAAATCTTATTCTGAACCCCAATGTTGGCCTTTACTTCTTTTGGAAAGTCTGTCCTCATCTACCACCACTCCCAAAGAACGCTGATGAGGAGGCTTCCTTCAGTTCTCCTTCCACCAGTCAAGTTCTGATCTCACCTCCCACCCACAGATTTTTTAAAATTGAGGCTATCTTGAGAAATCTGGGATTGGTGTATGGAAAGGTATAGCATTGATTTTCAGAAGGACCAAAAGGCCTTTCATGAACATCACTCAATCAGCTAGCCTTTATGAAGTGCCTATGAGTTCACCACCTTGCATTTCCAGATCAGACTCTCCAACATTCCCTTCCTCTAGACAGAAGCTGAAAGATCATTCCAGCTCCAAAATGTTATAAGGGGCACAGAGCTCTCCTTAAATGTTTGCCAATTAAACATGCAGGGATTCTGATGACTGAGGTGTGAACAACAAATAAACAGTGATTTTGTATAAGTTGTACATGTTTGTAAATGTACACCACTGGTAACCAGCACACACATATTTCCAAATCATGCCTTGTGGAGGCACTGTGGTAAGGAGAGAAGCACCCTGAACTGGGAACTGTGGTCCCAGCTCTACCACTAACTGGCTATGTGACCTTGGGGAAACCATTTCCCTACCTAGTTTCCTCATCTGTGAAATGAAGTTTGAAGAAGTGACTTTTTAAATCTGTTCTTAGTTTTAAAAATTTTTTTATTTAAATTCAATTTAATTAACATATACTGTATTGTTAGTTTCAGAGGTAAAATTCAGTGATTCATCACTTGCATACAACACCCAGTGCTCATTACATCAAGTGCCCTCCTTAATGCCCATCACCCAGTTACCCCATCCCCCCACTCACCTCCCCTCCAGCAACCCTGTTTGTTCTCTAGAGTTAGTCTCTTATGGTTTGCCTCCCTCTCAGTTTTCTTATTTTATTTTTCCTTCTCTTCCCCTATGTTCATATTTTGTTTCTTAAATTTCACATGAGTGAAATCATATGGTATTTGTCTTTTTCTGACTTATTTTACTTAGCATAATACCCTCTAGTTCCATCCACGTCATTGCAAATGGCAAGATTTCATTCTTTTCTTTTTTAAAAACATTTTATTTATTAGAGAGAGCACAAGCAGGGGAAAGGGAGAAGCAGGCTCTCTGCTGAGTGGGGAGCCCAATGTAGGGTTTGATCCCAGGAGCCTGGGATCATGACCTGAGCTGAAGGCAGACGCCCAACCAACTGAGCCACCCAGGTGCTCATTTCATTTTTTTTGATGGCTGAGTAATATTCCATTATACACACACGTGGGGTGCATATATACAAACACATATATGTACATATAGATGCACCCCACATTTTCTTTATCCATTCATCTGTCAATGGACATCTGGGCTCTTTCCCTATTTATTTTTTAATCATTTCTTTTTTTATTTTTATTTTTTATTATTATGTTAATCACCATACATTACTTAATTAGTTTTTGGCTCTTTCCCTATTTTGGCTATTGTGGACATTGCTGCTATAAACATTGGGGTGCATGTGCCCCTTTGAATCACTATGTTTGTATCTTTGGATAAATACCTAGTAGTACTATTGTTGGGTCATAGGGTAGGTCTGTTTTGAGCTTTCTGAGGAACCTCCATATTGTTTTCCATGGTGGCTGCATCAGTTTCAATTCTTTTACCCTGCAACCTAAATTTAGAAATACATTTTATAAGGCTACAGTATCTCCTACATGTCTCCTACTAAAACAAGTTCCTCAAAATAATTTATTAAAAAGATTTTATTTATTTAGAGTGAGCTGGGGGCGGGTAAAGGGGCGGAGGAAGAGAATCTTGAGCAGGCTCCCCACTGAGCAGAGACTGCTCTTGTGACCCATGAGATCATGACCTGAGCCAAAACAAAGCATCAGACGCTCAACCGACTGAGCCACCCAAGCATCCCTCAAAATAATCCTTAATGCTACTCATGGGCAATGGACTATGATGTTTAAAATTGCTTGTTGTGACCCGCAAAACTAATTTCAAGAGCCATAATGGGTTGCTATTGTCACTTTGAAGAATACTGGATTATCAGGTTAAGATTTCTTTCTGCTCTTTCCTAAAAAGTTAAAGTGTCTGCATTGAAAATATACAAAAAAAATTTAAAAACAGTCTCAATCTTTTATCTTAGACCTTCCTCAACCTGTTACCAGGTACAAAAGTCAAATATTCTGTTATCTCCAGATGACAGAGTCTTAGAGAAAATGGCCCAGGCCAGATATATAGTAGGGGGTAGCTTGGTACTTATCATCTCTGAACTCCAGTACCCTCATCTACCACTATCCTTACCACTCTTCTAATCAGTCTATTTTAAGGTCTTGTACTTTTCCTTTTTAATGTTTTTGCCTGTCAAACTCAGGTAAGCATTCATCTGGTTATTTTACTTTATCATTCACATTTAATATGACAACACACACATATGTACATATAGATACATACATACATACATACAACAGTGGCCTCAGATTACAGGTGTACCTTAGATTTACCTGGAAAGCTTGTTAAAAATGGCAATTCTGGAGTGCCCATTTGTGGGTCTGGAGGATAGAAGCCAGATGTTTTATATTCTCAAAAAGCTCCCCTCCCAAGATGTTCTTATGTAGGTGGTGGACTCACACTCCTTGAAAAACAGGACATACATTCTTAAAATTATACCAGATGTTGAGTTATGAGTATGATCCTTCCTTGCTCATTGGATGGGAACAACAATAAAAAACAGTCAAAGACTAGAGATCTTGAGTCCAGGTAGCTAGGAGAGGAAAGGTAGTATTAAAAAATAAAGACTAGGGTGAGAATGGAAGATTGCTTTTTAAACTGCTTTATTAATTTCACATTATGAAAGGAATAGTTTTTCCTAAAACTGAGTGAAATTGTCCTACTGGACAGAAAATTTTACACTGAGACAAAACAATATTTAATTACAAACTGGTAAGTGGAAACACCAAAAGGTTTACAGAAAAAGTAAATCATAAAACTACAAGCTTGTAGAGCAGAGGTCACATTATTGACCTCGGAGAAAACCTTAGGATTCAAGGTATAAGGCAAAAGTCATAATGATTATCAGGTTCAGGAGTTTGGAAGCGCTTATGATGCCTCATTTGCTGCTCTTTAGTCTTTCTCCTGACTTCCATCATCTGCCCTACAAACTTTTCCTCATCATCTCCCACTTCATTGTGATCAATATGCCTGCTGGGTATGGCCCACCGAAAATTAGGGACAAGTCGTCTCATTCGCCCCAGCCTGACATTTCTTCCATGCTTCTGGCCTTCACCCCCTCTCGAATTGCGTGATTCCTCTTCATTCTGCACGGGGCCCTGTTCTTCTCCTTCCTTTTCCTGCTGGGCATTTTCCATGTTGACATTTTTCACCGCTTGTTTCTGTTTGGACGCCATTGCTCCTAGAGGTAAGAGACCAGAAAAAGGGCTATTTTCTTGGTGGGACGATCAGCACCGAGGACAGAGGCCCTACTACGCACCTTTCAAAATTCAGAGCCCTGGATTTCAAATGCTTTTTAAAATTTTACTCTCCCACTGGAGAGGCTCCCTACGCTCTTCAGGGGGCTCCCTGTCCGAGCCCTCTCCATCCCCCCCCGCCCCGCCCAAAG